CCGGCAGAGCAAACGTGGCCGTTTGTGCGGACGTATTTGACCGTTTTTGTCCTTTTCAGAAGGGAAAGAAAAGCAGGGAGCTAGAAGAGGAGATGGGGCCAATGAGTTTGCCTTTGCTTAATTATAATTTGGCCTAATTGGGCCGTCAGCCGATAAGTTCATAACAAAAACTGTGGCGCACTGGCTCCCCGCCCCCTCCAGAGGCTACTACTACCCTACTCTCACTTTCCAGTTCCAGTTATCCTTGGAAAAAACCTGTTTGCATGAGAAGTTTACATTCTCGAGCACGTCTGCGTGACGACATACAAGACAACAATGCCCTCTCGCAATCCGCTGTTTATTTAAGGGACACACTGTCTGCAATAATGGCTGGCAGATAAAGGGGCCACAGGGGGTCGAGCTGGTGCTTGTGAACGGGACAGAGAGTCACGCTAGGCCTGATGTAAATATGTCCAGGCCGCCCCACCCTAACATCAACTCAAATGCTTTGAAGTATTTGCATACTTCAGTTTGCTCACTTACAAAAGGCATGAACTGTCTCTAAATGTTATGCTAGTTTCATTTAAATGGACGGACGCAGAATATCGACCCAAAATGCTGAAAAGCACATTACATAAAGGTTTTCATGCTTTCAGATCATGCCACGGTTCTGGCTCCCACAGAGTGCGTTCGTGTGGAAATCTGATTCTCCTGATCTCAACTTGTTAGATGTAGAAAGCACACCTTTGCACAGAATCTTCCATTCCCACCTTCCCACCACCACCTCCATCCCTCAGCCAGGACACTGAAGATGGTCATGGATGGGTGTTCTGGCATGAAGCACATTAGGGTCATGGAGTGGACTAACCCGTCTCCGGACCTCTATCCTTTCACAAATCTGTGGAAGAAGCTGAAAGGTTGAGTCGCCAAGCAGCGGCCAAGAAACCTGAAGGATTTAGAGTTTCTGTAAAGCACCAAACTCCCTCCTGAGATGTGTACCGACCTGCCCCCACTACAAGAAACAAACACTGCGCTTGCCAACAATGGTTTTTCCAACAAGTACTAAGACAGGTTTTCTTTATTGAACTGAGTGACATGAACAAAACTTTTGGTTGATATTCTGTGTCTGTAAATTAAAATGAAAAAATATTATTTTCCTCTCATTTTTTTTTGTCTCTGGCAGTTTTGTTAACGGTGTTGACAATTAGATGAGAGTTAAGAGTAAGAGGAGAGAATAAGAAAGACACTGGACACAGGAAGTTACTTTTGTTTTTTAAGTTTTGCACTGATAAATCTAAATGAGAGGTTTTTGGACACAAACATTTGTGATGTCGAGCCAGTTAAAACGAATAAACCAGATGGGTGTGACGCCATCTTA